CTTGTTCATCTTCATGCTTTTTTGCTAAAAAATCTTGTCTACTAAATACCGTGATTGAAACTCTCCCCGTGACTTGTTTTATTTTTAATGAGCATGATAAGCTTTAGAGAAACTTTTTAGCTTCTACCTGTTGCATTTTGGTTTTGATTCAGTACTTGATTTTTTTAATAAGGGTATTTTGCTTAAAGTTATTAAAATGACTACTTGATGTCTGTTTCTAGGATGCTGAAGAAGACCACGAAAGAACTCATCAAATGGTTTTACTGAGAAAGCTTTGTCTGCCAATGTTGTGTTTTCTGCTTCACACCATATTGCATAGTACTGGTCAGTATCAGGAATGCATTCAGTTAGCAGATATGGTATCCTCTGAGCGCCACAAACTGTATCTGGTAAGTTCTAAAACATTGATACTTTTAAATTTTAGTGATTTGATAAGCTCCGTAGTAATATTTAATTTTACGAATTATGTTTATATTTTTTAGCTGCACTTAGATTTTCTTAAAGTAATAGTCCAGTTCTAATGATTTTTTTTTCCAAAATATGTATACATTCCTAAGCAGTTATTAGTATATACATTGGCTCAGAGAAATAGCTTTGAAATTCCTAGGCCATGCTAACATACTGGACTCAGGCTACATAAATATTGAAGAGGAATTTCTCTTGTATTAGGCTAATCAAGCTGATTAGGTCACTGTAAGTTCATACTCTTCTTGTTGTCATTCTTAACTTTTTCTCTTTTTTTAAAAAATCAGGTATTTTCTAAGGAAGAATTAAGGAAATTGCTACAGAAGTTAAGAGAATCCTCTCTGATGCTCCTAGATCAGGGGCTTGATCCATTAGGATATGAAATTCAGTCATAATTCATCTACTGTTTGTAATCTTATTAATTTCCATGATAAATGGAGGTTTTTTTGTAAAATATACGTATTTGTAATTATTGGTTTTTTCTTTTGCATTGTGGGGGAAAATGTAAAATTTAGACATTTGAATTTTGTACTTTTCAGAATCTTATGGTAACAATGAAATTTTAGTGTATTATATCAGTATTTCCCTGTTTATTAATAAAATTATTAAAAAATTAAAATTTTCTGTTCTTACAAATTCTAGGATTGTCTCTCTGTAATGTAATAAGAAATTAAATTTCCTATTCTACTTTTTCTCTGTGCTCATAAGTGCTCTGAAGAGGATGGAAAGTAGATTTAAGCCAGGTATATAATTTCTCATCATAAAATTTAGTACTTTGAAGACATTTCTAGTTTATTAACTCATTTAGCAAGCCTGCTACTAAAATAAGTTGGAGCATGTAAACAGTTAGTGTAGTATCTGGCACACGGTAAACACTGAATAAATTGAGGAATACAAAATGAGTAAGGTCTAATCCAGCTCTTCTAGTAGGGAAATACAATAAATATATACTTTCAATGCCATTCAAAAATACAAGGAATCTAGACAGGAAGAAACTATTTCCAGCTCAAAGGTCTCTGAGGAAGTAGCATTTGAGCTGAGGTTTGAGTAATGCACAGAATTTGCAAAGGCAAAGATAAAGCACGAGAAGGGTGTGGTACTACAGGTTAGGAAGTCAGTATGAGCAAGGCCTATAAATGCTAGTGCATGTTTATGAATCAGCAAGTATGCCAGACTTACTAGAGTGTAGGACTTAGAAGTGGAGGGAAAAAATTAAAAAGAATGTGACTAATAGAAAATGTGGTCTGGATTAGGAACATCAAAACTGGCTAATCATCTGAATCATGTAAGGAATTTATTAAAAATGTATTTATAAATGCCACCCCTAGAGATGTCTGGCTCAGGAGGCCTGGGATGGAGTCATGGAATTTGTATTTTGAAACATAAGATGCTATAAGTGCTTCTAATTCTAATTACCTAAGTTTGGGCCATTCTGGCTTAAGTCAGAGGTGGGTTTTGGTAGTTCCGTACCCAGTGCAGGCAGCAGTCGTTGATCATAACATTGTCCTGGCATCAGTTGGGAAGAGATGTAGAGACAAATGGACTCTGCCTCAAGTTTTTATTCTTGCTAAAGTGATCCAATGATGAAATATTGACATATCAAAACCTTTGTATATCTTACTATGTGTTCATTTAAAAAATGAGGTAGAGCAGTATGAACTGATAAAAAATTGTGAATCTAACAAAACATGCATGGATTTATGTGCTGAAAACTAGAAAATACTGATGAAAGTCCAAAGAAGAGCCAAATAAATGGAGAGACACCATGTTTATTAACTGAAAGATTCAACATAATAAAGATGTCTCTTCTCAAACTGATTTACAGGGGTTTAACACTACCAATAGTCTAGCAAGAAAATAGATTGTATAATAGTTTGGATGATTGAATTAATATTTTCTTAGGTGCGATAATGGTATCATGGCTAGGTAGAAGAGTGTTCTTAGGAGATGCGTGTTGAAATATTTCGAGATGAAGTCATGAAGTCTATACTTCACTTTGAAATGGTTTAGCTTTAAAAGTCTTCTAAGATAAAGCAAATATAGCAAAATGTTAACTAGTGAATCTATGTAAAGGGCATAAGCATGTTTGTTATACTAGTCTTTCGGCTTTTCTACAGATTTAAAATTTTTCAAAGTAAAAGATTTGGATGAAGTTCAAAAAATTGTGACAGAACAAACAACTGAATATCCACAAGGAAAATAAACTTAACCGCCCGCCCCCCCGTACACTGTCAGTAGAACAATGGCAAAACAAATTATATGTTCATACAAAACAATACTACTCAGCAATATAAAAAGGAAAGAATTGATCTCAACAAAAGAACTTAGACACAAAAGGAGTACATACTGTATGATCATATATTAAGTTCTAGAACAGTCTAAATTAACATATGGTGAAAAAAATTAGAACAGTCGCTTCCTAGGAGTGGGGTGGGAATTTTCTAGGGAATTTTGTAAGGTGGTATAGAAATGTTCTATATCTTAACAGGGATACGGGTTACATAGTTGCATCTATTTGTCAAAAACTACAGTTTACCTTTTAAAAATCGAATGGAAAGGTGGGGAGTGGGTATGCATGAAACAAGAATGGCAGTGAAACCAGGTGATAGGTACAAGAGGGTTCACTGCACTGTTTTAACTTTGCACAAGTTTGGAATTTTCCATAATAAAAGGAAAACGAACTAGGGAGCCAGAGAAATTTGGGTTTGAATCTTACTCTCATCCCATTCTAGCTGCTAGATTAACACCCATAAACCTCTATTTTCAACACGTGAAAGTGAAAATAAGAATAATCATATTTCAGGACAAGTAAGGGTTAGGGCTCCTGTGCTTTGGTGAAAAAGGTAGAGAAAGCCACTTAACCAACTAAATCAGCCTGGAAAGGTACTTGTTCTGGAACAGTGGGAAACTGGATGAGTGTCAAAGATGGAGTTAGACTGAGGAAGGCCTTGAATGACAGGATTCGTAACCCTACACCAACAGGCAGTTGGAATCCATTATATTTTTTTTAACCCAAATTTGAGTTCATATATTAACTGTTTTCAAATATGAGAAATGAATGATAAAAATATAATTTATTCATGATAAGATTATCAGTCCAAATCTATAAGTACTTACAAGGAGACAATGAATTGAGTAGATTAAATGAAGATAGGTTAAAATAGGCTAATTAAAGCCTAGGTTCTTAACTAGGGAGCAAGTGAGGGTAAGTGTAATAAATCACCGATAAGTTAGGGTCATGCAGACCCAAACTGGGAGGATGGCAGTATAAATATACAATGGAAAAGGTACACAGTACAGTAGGATGGTAGACTCTGGTGACAAGATAGGAAGAAAAACATCAGAAAGATGATGTTGGGAAAGCTAGACTTTAAATTTTGCCTAATTAACATTCATTCTCAAGTGTTTAAAAGTCATTTCCCTGAGGAAGCCCTTGATCACTTCTCCCTCATCAAATTTAGATGAGGTTCTCTTATACATTCATAGAACCATATTTCACTTCAGAACATTCATTTTTTAGGATTTATAATTGATTAGTAATGAGTCTTCTCTCACTAAGTTCTATGAGAGGGTCTGGATTGGTTTTACTCTCCGTTATTTCCCAAGTGCCAAATATAGTCCCTGACACAAAGCCCGTACTCAATACTTGAATAATTCTTACATCAAAGAGGAAATCAAAACTGTCAATCAGGCTACTTAGGAATTCAGGACAATGATTTTATTACATTCCCTGAGGACTGTGGGCAAAGCTATTTTCAAGGGGAAAACTCAGCCTTCAACCCTTTTATTTTTAAATAAATGAACTAAATATTCAAGGAATTGGGGGGGGGTGGGATCAGAGTAAAAAAAGTAATGACAAAACAAAATTGGTAGAAGTAATCTTTGAAAAGGCGCATAAAACTGACAAATTACTGGCAAGGCTAGTCAATGGACAAAGAAAACCCAAATACATAATGTTTAGAATAAGTAGTGATGTAAGAGCAGATGAAATAAATTTAAAATATAGTAGAGTACTATGTACAACTCTAAACAAGTATATTAGAACATTTAAGTAAAATGGACACTTTTCTAGAACAATAAAAGGCCAAACACTGATTCAAAAAGAAAAAAATGAATAGTTTGCTAACATGAGTATATCAAGGTTCATCATACTGTCTACTCTTCTTCATATCTGGAGTTTGTAAATAAAATGTTAAAATCATGCCTTCAAGAAGTAATGCTTTCCCCTCTCCGGCTAGGACCACAAATTAGCACTTGTCTCATATGTAAAATTGTACAGTGTCTGTACAGCCCACTCTACCAGCTTGAGAGCAGCTGTCCAGCAAGTCGAGTCAACTCACACAGAAAATGTAAAACACGAAGAAAGGGGTCCCACATGGGCCTCGTTAGGGTCGGGGTTAGGCGATCAACAGGGTAGAGGGGACCAAGGCATCCGCTTGCCACACCTAGAGCCCAACGCGCCTGCGCAGGATTTAGGCCGCTCCTCTACCAGTTGGGGGAGGAAGTGAGGATGCCCCGAGTCACGTGGACGGGGGGCGGGGCGCGTGGGACGTGCTGCCGCGTCGTAGCGGCTTCTGTGGGCGGTGGCAGAGCATGTGTGTGCCACTGTTGCTCGCCTGGGACCCTGTCTCCCGCCAGAACGTGAAGCCAGCGGCTGCGAGGACGCAGCAGCGGAGGAGGCGGGCGAGGGCAGCCGGAGACAGGCCAGGTGTCTCTCTCCGAGGCTGGAGAACCCCGGCTTTGTGGGGGTCATGGCATCGCTGGCTGACCGAGTTCAGGGTAACGGGCGCATCGCCGCCGGGCTCCTGCTCAACCTGCTGGTGTCCATCTGCATCGTGTTCCTCAACAAATGGATCTATGTGCACCACGGCTTCCCCAACATGACCCTGACCCTGGTGCACTTTGTGATCACCTGGCTGGGCTTGTACATCTGCCAGAAGCTGGACATCTTTGCCCCCAAAAGTCTGCCGCCTTCCAAGCTCCTCCTCCTGGCTCTCAGCTTTTGTGGCTTTGTGGTCTTCACCAACCTCTCTCTGCAGAACAACACCATAGGCACCTATCAGCTGGCCAAGGCCATGACCACGCCGGTGATAATAGTCATCCAGACCCTCTGCTACAAGAAAACCTTCTCTACCAAAATACAGCTTACGCTGGTGAGTAGCTTCAGTTTCGCAAGGCACACTTCTAACAACCCACCTCCTGGACCGTCTTTCTCTCCGGGAAATTTGAATGTTAACTTTGCACGCTTTCTTCCATCATCTTGAAATCCACACATGTGTCGTCTGTGAGCATGTGAATTAAGGCTTATTTGGGGAAGGTGGAAATGCCATCTTGGCACTCTTGGGCTCTTAGCCGAGAAGTGTGCTTGTGTGTTTAATAACTACTGTTTGACGATAATCCTTAAATGCTGTGATCGGTAAGAAAAGAAAGCTGTACTGGGTGGTGCAATTGGGTGTATCAGATTATCTGCAAAAGCTCAAGCGAAAGCTGCCCACCTTCCCCAGGGGAACCAAACCATGTGTGATAAACGTTGAAGGTTTAGCATAAAATATAAATCTCAGATTCTGTCGGCAGTGACATACTGCAGAGGTTTCTGCATCTTTAAATAAAAGGAAATGGACTAAAATAATTTTAGCACTTAAAAAAACTTACAGCATTTAAGATCTGAATGCTTTCGTGTTTATGTTTATATGTTGTTTAGACACTGGTTTGGGTTCTTCCTATGTCGGTGCATGCGGTTTGCGTTCTTGCAAAGTGCAATGCATTGACTCATTATTTTAACCAAAATTTGAAATAGAATTAAATGTGAACATAATGTAGAATTATCATATTTCACTTTGAGGAAACAGGATTAAGAGTCAGCTTTTTTCAAATAGAAAAGAACAATTTATAGAAGTTCATTGTTACCCAGTGATGTGTTTATGATTAACCTTGTAAGACACCATGAAAGGAATAGTCTTGAATTTATTCTGAACAACATTTACCTCTTTTTCTTTACAGATTCCTATAACTTTAGGTGTAATCCTAAATTCTTATTACAATACGAAGTTTAATTTCCTTGGAATGGTGTTTGCTGCTCTTGGTGTTTTAGTTACATCCCTTTATCAAGTGGTTGGTAATTTTTTTTCTTTATGTGCCTTTTTAGCAGATTTCATAAATTTTGAAGCTGTATCCCAAGGTTTAGAAAGTACAGTATAGAGACAATAGACTGTTGGGAAGAAAGCATAATTGCATAAATTGTCTGACTCAAGGTGAAGATAAGAAAGGAGTCAGAGAAACTTGGGTGTATGATGCTCACCAAATACCTACCTGTTTGTAAGTGTATAATACAAATGCTTAACAGTCTCAGTTTGGGGTGATGTTATATTATTTTTGGGAAACCTTTACAAAATGAGTATTAAGACTTTTTACTTGAGGACTGAGTTCATTGGTTACATTTATCATTTACTCGTTATAACATTGTGAAGGAGTACACTTTCAAAAATTTGAATGGGAAAGGAAAATTTCAGATTTATAAATCTTTACTTCAAAAATATGCTGATGTTACAACTTGTATATTGGCTTCAAATAATTTGTCTATATCAATATTTTATAGCAATGGGTATTTCACTTCTTGTACTTAGCACAGTGCCCTTGCTTATAGCAGGCATTCATTAAAAATTTATTCATGGACCAACTTCATTACCATAAAATTTGAACAAGTATGTTTTTTGTTTCTTATAGTGGGAAAAAAATAACTTGATGTAGGGTACAGTGAAACAGTATTTTCTCTATACTGAAAACCTTGGACTGGAAATTCTGGGTGTGCCTGCATGGGGTAATCAGAGTCGAAATGTGTAACCAATTTTACTGCTTTCACAAACATCCACTGGCTATAAACTATGACATTCTTGTTGAGTGTTAGGAGTTAAAATCATAGCCTTAGCATCGTAAACTTTATGATACTGATCATTTCAGAAACATTGTTATGTAAAAATTCTGTGGTTGAATACATATTTTAGTAGCAGGGAAGCAGTCTAAATAATACACCAGTGGCATGAAAGGATGGAGCACACCCTCAGTCTTTTCACTTAGCTCCCAGATAGTCTGTCTTTTATTGCAGACAGTCAGAGGAAGCTCAGCTTTGTTCTTTAAGAAAATTCTATTTAGGTGTGCTTTAGTGTGTTTAAATTCTGTTACTAGATACAGTAAATGAACATTCTTTTTTGCTAAATGAACTTTTTATTTTTTTGCCCAGTATGGATTAAATATTTATTAAATATAGCAAGAAATTTTATTTGTTGAACATTAGAATTTCTTGTATTCATTATATGTAATTTCAATTCAGAGTACTCACTGCCCATGCCAATATGACCATTTTTGTTCACACTAGTCTCAAAATTGCTATAGATTAGAATCAAAGGATTCTATATCCCTCAGGTAGATAATTTGAAATGAGATTGACCAAGGAATGATTATAGACTAACTAAATGGGCAGAGTTCTCCATTATCAGTAAATGGTAAAAGTGCTATTACAGAAAATGTAATGGTCTCTAAAAATTTATTTTAAAGAGACTTGTATTTTCCCATCGTATCCAAGTGCAATTTCTAAGTTTTTTTTCTTATACTTCTATGGCATTAAAAGGAGTTAAAAGATGAGTGATCAGCTGTGACCTTTAGTTATAGAAAGACCGTTGACTCATTCATTCAACAGACATTTCTCCTACTTAATGCCCAGCCTTGAGGATACAAAGATGAAAAGCAGCCACTATTCAGCACCGTAGAAACACATACAGACAGCTAATCCAAAGCAGGATAGGTATAGGTCATAAGGAAAATTCAGAAGGGAGGAAGTGGCAGTTCTTCAGGAAGGTGGTGAAGTAGATCTTTATGGGAAAGTTAACAATTTCAGTTGAAGGATGCACACAGATTTTCTTTCTTTGCAACGATGTGAGAAAGTATGTAGCATTTTTGGAGATGATTTGTTTGGTGAGACTATAGTGGCATTGTGGAAGGACAAGGCTTAGGTTGGGTGAGACCAGATGGCAGTCTTGAATGTCATGCTAAGGAAATGTGCTCTTCATCCTGCCGGCACCAGGAAAGGAGTGTAGAGAACGGAATGACTTGATTGTTCCCTGTGTTTTAGAAAATTAACCGTTATGGCAATGAAGAGTGAATAAGAGAGGGGAAAGAAGGGTGACAGGCCGAGCAGTTAGAAAACTAGGGGAAGGCAGGAAGACCCTAAACTAAGACAACAATAGTGGACATGGAAAGGAAAAACAGACTTTAGAAACTTCTTAGAGAAAGAGTTAGTAGGACCTGACTGAATGTGAAAGAGGAAAGTAAGGAGTCTGATCTTTGGAGGAGATTATGTAAACTATTGGAGCGACACAGGAACTAATGAGCTTGATTTTAAACAAGTCCCTGCAGGTTATCTAAGTGAAGATGGCCAGCAAACTGTTGGAGACATGAGTTTAAGGATGCTCAAGGAAAGAGGTCGGAGCTATAGATGTCATCGGATGGTAAAAGAGATCAGTCGGGGATAAAAAAGGAAGGCCAGACCTCTACCTTAAAAATAGTAAGTGAAGGAAGAGGTGAGTGAGGAAACAGTGCAAATCAGAGGTCAAGTTCATCCTAGACTGCACTGCAGGAAGGGAAAGTGGAGGCCCTGAGAGTCACCACCAATCCAGGCGGTTCTGCGTCAGAGACACGGAGCTGCCTGGTGAGGCTGCTAAAGGCAGAGGGGGTAGGCAGACACTCTGCATTCATCTTTGCTCACTGCGGTGCCCCAAGGAGCCAGCAGCGGAAGAATCAATTCTTTGTCCTTCATATTTACAGAAGACTCTTAGTTAAGACTGGTAGGAGTATGTTTCAGATTTCCTGCTCTTCTATTTTTGTCTTGATGAATTGCTATAGACTTAGAGTATAGGTAACGGGATACCCAGACCTACAGGAAAAAGAATTACGTAGGAGCAGTTATTCAAAAGCCTGGCTGTTTTTGCCAGATCTTATTTAAACAATCCTATCAAGCTTTCTTTAAACATTCATATTTGTGAAGAATTTTGAGGACTGATGGGACTTGGGGCTTTGAGGTGTTGGCTCTGCTGAATGATATAATCGATTAGAGTTTGTGATTATCTCATTTCTTGAGGAGTATTATTGGTGAGGATTACCCACAGATAAGACATCCATAAAGAGGAAAATTTCTTCTACCATTGACTGGGTTTTCTAAAGTGAATGAAAAGACCTCACATACCTTTCTAGCCACACACATGGCAGCTACCTAGAATAACTGAGGTTTGTTCCTGTTAGTCTCTAAATTAGTCTGCCCTGCCTCCCAGTCTTTTTGGGAGGCCACTTGTAGAAAGAAATGAAGTCTGACACTACATCTGTATTCCTACTTATTACCTAAATATCTGTTCCTGCCATATTTTTCTGAGATCTCTGATGCTCAGGGGCCCCTGTATGCACTGACTTTCTTCATTTACTAGGATCAGGAGAGAAGAGGGATTTTTTCTCCTTTATAATTGAGAAGAAAATACATGAGAAGATATTGAATTTTTAAAGCTCTTTTCATCCAAGGTGCTTAAAGGACATTCGTATGTATTATGGGTTTTAGAAATCTTGTGGAATGATTAGGTGTTTCCTCTTCCCCAGCCCTGTGCCCCACATTCCCATCTTTGTGGCTAGAGTTGCATCTTTCCTTTATTGGTGTAATGCTGTTTTTTTTTCCTGCCTAACTGATTTTATCTCCTAATTTTCAGTGGGTAGGAGCCAAACAGCATGAATTGCAAGTAAACTCAATGCAGCTGCTATACTACCAGGCTCCGATGTCCTCTGCCATGTTGCTGGTTGCTGTGCCCTTCTTTGAACCAGTGTTTGGAGAAGGAGGACTGTTTGGTCCCTGGTCAATTTCTGCTTTGGTGAGTTCTGATTGTTTGGGTGTTTAATAAACAAGACGATAATATTCCCTCCATTAGTAATATAATTTTAATTTTCAGAGCACTATCTCAGATCTATTCTCATATTTAATCTTTATAATCACCCTTTAAGAGAGGCAAGGTAAGGATTATTTTTTAGATGAAGAAACTGAGGCACAGAAAGGTTAAGGGACTTGCCTAGGGTCAGACAGATAGTCAGTGGCAAAACCAGGACGAGAATTCAGGTCTCCTGATGCCTGGTTACTGTCCTGACCACTCCACAAGATAGCCCACAAATAATTTGGACATCTATTTTGTTTTTTGCAACGAAGATATAGCCTTATTGATTTTGTTTTAGTAATATAAATAGTATATACTCGTATATAAAAATATAAAGAATGTGTAAATCTCCTAGAATCCTGCCAAACTAAGGTAATCACCTTTACCATTTTGGTGACTACTTTATGGAATTTTTAAAAAATATATATGCGTGCATGTGTGTGTGTATGTATGTATGTATGTATAATATGATATGCATGGCCTTATCACATAATCTGTGTTTATCACGGGTTCCTTTTCCCCAGCCCTCCTACCCATACACACTTCAACATCTCATAACCCCATCCCTGCTGCCCCTTGAAGTAAGTCATGTCAACATTCTAGCGTTTGTTCCTCCATATTTTTCTCCGTGGTATACATACATATATGTCAAAACACACAGCACATACATATACACACACACATATACATAAAGTAAACATTTGTTTCTTTTTACAAAAGTAGGATCATATCACACGATTTTTTGTTTCTGATTTTTTTCAATATTTCATGAAAATTTCTTCATATCATTCTTTTAATGTCTACATAATAGTTCCAGTTCTAGTTCTTAATTACAGTGTTGCGGTGAGCATCCTTGTACGTGTGTCCTCAAGAACTGGTACTTTTTTCCATGGAATAGAGTCCTAAGAGTGGAATTGCCAGATTAAATGGATATGTACTTTGGGAACATTTTAAGTTAGAAAGTATAGTCCACACACTTAGGGAAGGAATGTCTGCTTCCTATAACTTTAACCTTTGGAACACAGTCAATAAGAATGTCTTTTTTGTTGGTAGTGTTAACATATCAAACTTATATAGTCCTGTCTATGTTCTAGGCACTAGGCACTATTCTAAGCATTTTGCAAAAATCCTGATAGCAAATTTATTGTGTGGCTACTATTATTATCCCTACATTTACTGATGAGGAAACTTAGAAACTAAGAGGTAAGTAACTGACTGGAAATCCTGCAGCTAATGCAGAGCTCGAGTTTGAATCCATGCATTCTGGCTCCAAAGTCCATATTCGTAACCACCCTACTGTGCTGCCTGTGAGTAGATTGATAGTTGTTTCAAATTCATATGCTTTAGCATATACCCTTTTTTCCAAAGTAGAAAGCTGTCAGATGATATTTCCTCTTGATTTCACAAAAGTTCTAGCTATCTTGGTGGTCTGGTCTTCAAATCACTGCAGCTTAGACATGTTAAGTTAGGAAAGGAGAAATTTTAGGCCCTTTGAGAAATTTGAGAAAGAAAAATACAACAGAAAGGTTATTTAAAAAAGTCAAAGAAACAATACACAATAGTCTGAGACCATTTAATAAGCGAAAGTCCCCTTATTTAATGTCCCTAGAGGGCATCATTGCCTCAAAGTAGATCTTATAATTGTGTTTTTAATGAATGTGCTAAGTCATCAAGAAATAAGTATGTAACATTCATGCATACAGTAAAATTAATAATGATATATTTCTAGAAACAGTTTTTAAAATCTTTAAGGAGCAAGTTTCTCTTAGTTGAAAATTTAACAGGCCGCCCTTTTATAAAACAATTAAGGTATTACCCTTTTTACCTAAATAGGATGCAAATCCAACTCCTCTAGTCCTCTTATGGCTGCACTAAAAACTGATAAAACCACATGGGACAGAAAGGATCTTCAAATATGATGTATTTTTTTCTTTGGAACTTAAACTTATTAATTCAAATCATAACTAACATTTTATCTAAACTCTTATTTTAGAAATAGAAAATGACTCTATAACTTTTTAAATAAAATTGCGGGATAGGTTTTGAAAGAAAGCTGTATATATGCACAGTGGCACAGACCACTTTGTCCCTCTGTCCTCAGCCACATTGGCTTATTCACTGCCCCATGCACACAGCTTGTGCTTTCATTCTTCCATGCTTTGACCCACACTGTTCCCTCTGCTTGAAGTCCTCCCTCCCTTTCTTTATACATACATTTGAGATCCAAAGACTTTTCTCACTATCTCAGCCCAAAATGACATGTCCTGCTTAGAGATTCACATAGAACCTATTGTCTCTCTGCCTGTTACTGAGATAATTTCAGCTTTGGCACTTACTAGCTATGTGATCATAGATAGGCAGATTACTTTTACCTTTCTGTGCTCTGTTTTCTTGTCTGTAAAAAGGGGTAATATTTTACTACCTCATGGGTATTTATGAGGATCAAGTGAGTTAATACATGTAAAACATTTAGAACAATCTTGGCACTTAATAAGTACTATGTAAGTTTAAGCCATGATTATCAAAACTTTTATTATGTCCTTAAGTGGTTTCAAAGCTCTTTGAGGACAAGAACGTATTGTGTTCCTTACAATGCATGGCCTAGTTTATACATATCCAATGAATGTATATTGATTTAATTTAAGAATAAATATGAGCAATTCAATAGAAAAAAGATCTGGAAGGATATATGCTAAGATATTAACAATGGTGGGTGGTTGGGATTATAAGAATTTCTTATATTCTTTTGGTTTATCTTTATTTCTAATTTTTCTATAATAAGCATGTATTGCTTTTTTAATAAGAAATTATTACAAAGTAAATTTTCTTCAGATGGATAAGAAAAATGAACCTGGAAATTCACATTCAGAGGCAGGATATTATTGGAGAATTTTCCTTTGAATTTTGTAGACAAAATTACATTTCCAAATATTATTCATTCCACTTTTTAACCCTCAATTCTTGTTGTCTTTCAAATTGATTCTCTCCTTTTAAAAATCTTATTCTTAATAGTTGATATTTCAGTTCTTAGAAATGTCTAATGAAATGTATTTTTCATTGATTATTGTGACCGAACCTTCTTTTCATTAATGATTCTTTTGGTTTATTTGTAGCTTATGGTGCTGCTATCTGGAGTAATAGCTTTCATGGTGAACTTATCAATTTATTGGATCATTGGAAACACTTCACCAGTTACGTATCCTTTTCCTAATAACTTAGAAATGCATAGCCTTTTATATTTTTCAAACCTTTATCCCATTTATTTCCTTGAGTCTCACACTTAGTATTGCATGGCCTAAATTGAGTAGAGTGAGTTATTTTTTAATCTTTTGCCATCTCGTTACACACAAGAGTCAATAGAAATATAAAGAAATATGAACTGGGAAAATGGGTTAGCTTTCTGTATCATGAACATTTTTGAATTTTCTTAAGTAGTAGAGACCTTTTACTTTATCGAAATGAACATAGAGAACCATTCCTTGCACTTGGTGGGGTTAAATAAATAATAGGATGGATGCTTAGGTTGTCAATCAGTTCTCAGTTATCAATAGTAATAAAGTAGGTGTGGTTTTCCAGGTAACAAAAGATAATTTCAGACCTCTGAACTGACATAAGTGACCTCTGACTTTTAGAGTATGTTTTTGTATGTGCTTGGATATGGGTGTGCCTGTTTTTCTCAATATTACTTCAAGAAATGAAGTCATACCTTGAAGGTCTGAATCAGATTTAACCGCCCATTCTTAATCTATGCCATCATTTTGTTTCTCTTCTCATTTCACTCTGCTCTACAGATGCAAAGAATGGATTTCCTTAAATCAGAGAGGTAGTTTAGTAACGTTATATGAGAGTGTACTGCGTTATAGAGATGAGTGAACACTGAAATATCATCAAAGTAAAAAGCAGCATATTTGCCACGTATCAATAAATAACAATAATAATAATTTTTTTAAAAACCAACAATAAAATTTTATTTTGGCCAGGCACTTTTTGAAACACCTTGTGTGTATTAGGCATTTAATTCTCACAGCTGCTCTGTGAGGTAGATTCTGTCATTTAATTTTGCAGAGATGGAAATGAAGGTGCAGAGCAGTTAAATAATTCAAGGTTGAGCAGCTAAAAAGTGTGGTGTCCAGATTTCAAACCGTGTAGTCTGGTCCCTGAACTCATGCACTGTGCTAAGTCAAGGTATCCAAGGGTGTGTCCCGATTAAGGACATTTATTCATTCAACAGGCATTTATTGAACACCCACTATAAACCGTTCGTTGACTTAACATTTACATATTGAATATGTACTATATTCTAGGCACTGGAGATACAGTAGTGGGCCAAATAGACAAAAAAATCTTTGCTCTCATGGGCTTAAATTCTGTTAAGAATGATAGACTATAAACAATAAAAGTAGAAAATATACATATACAACAGTGTAGATAGTGTTAATTGCCAAGGAGAAAAAATAAAGCAGGAAAGAGGATATGAAATATTGGGAACAGAGTTGAAATTTTAGGGAGAAGAGGCAAGAAGACCTCTATAGGAAGGGGACTTTTGAGTAAAGACCTGAAGGAAAGGAGGTTGCACCATGCAGATCGGGATTCACAGCAGGTGAGAGGCTCTAAGGAACAAGGAAGCCTGTGGAGTTGGAGCAGGAAGAGCAGAGCATGGAGTATAGTAGGACTCTGAGAGGTAACAGGAGCCAGATGGAGCAGAGCTTTTACATAAAGACTCTTACTCTGAGCAAGAAGGGAAGCCTTTGGAGTTTTGAGGAAAGAAATGACATGATTTTACTTATATTCTAATAGGATCACTCTGGTCTGCTGTCTTGAGAATAGACCAAAGCAGGGTTTCCTAACCTCAGTGTTGTTCATCTTTTGGGCCAGATAATTCTTTATTGCAGAGGCCTGTCCTGTACAGTGTAGGATGTTTAGCAGTATCCTTGGCCTCTACCCACTAGATGCCAGTAGCATACCCCTTCTCCAATTATGACAACCAAAAATGTGTCCAGACCTTGCCCAGGTGGCAAAATCACCCCTGCATGAGAACCACTGTACTAAAAGAAGCAGAGGAAAAAGGGAAATTGTCAATAAGTCACTGTAATATTCTAATTTAGAAATAGTGGTTTGGTACCAGGATAGTAGCAATGGACATAGGGAGGAGTGATTGGATTCTGGATATATTTTCAAGTAGAGCCAACAGTTTTTGCTGACAAATTGGATGTGGAGAATATGACAGGAAGCAAGGTTGACTCAAATGGTTTGGGCATGTTATGTACATGTTATGTACATGTTAGTAGCATGGAGTTGCCATTAACTTGGATAGGACAGCCCCTAGGTTTGGGGGTGAAGAGGAAGAGAAAGTGCTCAGGGTCAAGGTCTCAGCTGGAGATAGTCTAGAGACAGTAGTGTGTAGATTTGGTTTAAAGCAGTGAGACTGATTGAGATGGCCACGTAAACAAGTAGTAGAAGAAGAGATGCCCAAATTTGGGTCCTGGGTCACTTTAATGTTTAGAGTTCAGAGAGATGAGAGGACCCAGCCAGAAGAGGCAGGGAAGGAGCAATTAAGGCAGAAGGAAGGAGAGTAGTGTAGAAACCAAGTGAGGAGGAAGGGAGATCAGCCATGTCAAATGCCACTGACAGGTCAAGAACAAGGAAGACGTAATTGATGAAGGGGTTTTGTAAGGTGAAGGGCAGTGACAGTTTTGACAAGAGCTTTCAGAGTGCTGAAGTGAAAGCTTAACTGAAACAGAGTGGAAAATTAGAGGAATTGTAAATATCGAGTATAGACTGGTCCTTTTTTTGTACTTTACAAAAGGATTCACTGAAGAATTTCTTTATATTTGCTTTCCCTCTAGTATAAATATCTAACATATCATGGGCTACTTGAAAGAGAGGCTGAGGAGTAAAGAAATGCTGAAATGTTAGAGCCAGAGCATTTGAAGGTAGCTCATAATTGAAAATAAAGCATATTTTATTATGGTTCTAATTAACATCCTTGGGAAGATCCTGTGCCTCTCAGGAAATCACTTGTGTTGAGTCAGGCGAGCACAGGTACCTCTGTGACATGGCAGTACTCTCCTGCCCAGAAGGAACTTCCAGGCTGCTCATTTGGTCTCAGAAGAGAGGAAAGAGCCTGGGCTTTAAGGCCAGACAGATCCAGATGTGCATGCCTGTCTCTGCCTCTACCTGTGGGCCTGAGCAAGTTGTGAGAGCTTTTGGGTCTCACTTGTCACTTATGAGAGTTCTTGGATCTCATTCTTATCACATATTCCCTCAAATGATGTTGGGTTGTTGTGTTTGAGCGAATATGTGTCAAGCACCTGGCAGATGTTTACTATGCATAAATTCTGCTATTGATAACTGTTGTTATAGCTAACACATATGGTGCTTAGTACCTAGTGTGTCATAGGTGCTCAGTGTTACTCCCTCCCCTTTCTCTGATTTCCCTGCTAAACTTAAGCACACTGGATGTGCCTACTTGTGTCAACTCTCTGGCTCCTTACACATCTCGCTTTGCTTGCCAAGGGAAGTTTATTAGAATTGGCCCTCTAGAACATGATCAAAACTTGCTGTACAAAATATCTTCTCTGTACCTTGCTCTGAATTTCTTTTCTAACCTTAGATTGTAGCCCCTTTTCTATTGTTTGGAGATCAAGGATAGGAGAGGCAGCCTCCTGTCACTGTTTAAATTGCTATAACCTACCTGTAGAAACTAGCATTGACCCAGCAAGTCAATGAAGTTGTTCTTTAGATGGGAGACTGCTGCTGTTCATCTGTGTTTCATGCAGTTCTTTCTAGCCACGGGAAGCCATTGCTGTGTGTATGAGTGCGTGTGTGTGTGTTTGTGTGAATGTACTATCTAGCTTGTTATTCCTTTTTATCCTTATCCAACAACCTCAGCTATAACATGTTTGGACACTTCAAGTTCTGCATTACTTTATTTGGAGGATATGTTTTATTTAAGGATCCACTGTCAGTTAATCAGGGTCTTGGCATGTTATGTACATTATTCGGCATTCTCGCCTATACCCATTTTAAACTCAGTGAACAGGAAGTAAGTAAGAGTAAATTAGTACAACGTCCTTAATTAGGTTTTGTGGAGGAAAGAAAGTCACGCCAAGAAGATTAAAAAATGTTAAGTATGCAAGTCACTTTCAAATAAGAAAAAAAAAATTACATTGCAAAATCCATTGAATGATGATTTACAAGAAGTAGCACAATGGAAATGATAATCATAAATGTGACATTTTCTTCTAAAGAGTACCTTTTTTCAAAAACTTAATTCTCTAAAACAGTGGTTCATGCTTCTTTTCAAAGATGATTGTATGAAATATATAGGATGATTCGGTCACACCAAATGAAGTACATGGAAAGTTCTACTATAAAGTTCTATTATAGTGACAGAGGACTTCATATCAGTGAACTACAAATGCGTCGTGGTTTTTAAATATTCAGCTCTTCCAAGGAAGGACACATAGGACTCCTCTACTTGCTTGTAGGTGGTCCCCAGTGTGAACTCTATTATAATTTTGGCCAAAGTGTTCAAGTCAGAATTTAAATCTAACATTTCTATTTTAGTGTAGGATAACTTCCTGCTTATTTTATTTATAGAAATAAAATATAATTTATAGAAAGCAAAGTGTATTAAAGGAGACCATGAGACAAAATGTAGTGCCAGTGGTACGATTTTTCTAATAGAAAATTAATGTAAGAAGTTGTATGTTATCCAAAAAAACTACAGTTTCTATAGGTAGTCTTATTTTTGGGCTCTCAGTGAACTCTTGAAATTACATGTAAAGTTAAAAAACAAAATAGTTCCATGTTTAAATAGCCCGAGAAGAGACTATAGATGGAATTGAACAAGTTTCATATTATCTTGATAAATATTCTCCTGGCCTCTGCGCCTTTCACTTGGTATTTTCTTAATTCTACCTCCCTACCTTTCACATTTGAGGCATCCGTGGAGCTTTCTCTGGTATTGAGGATTTAGAGTGAACTGAGTCTAGCCTTTCTAAGGTGGCCAAGGGAAATTCTTATGCAACAAGTCAGAGCAAATGCTATCCAAACACTTAGCAGAAACTTGCTGAAAATGGAAAGATTTTAAAGAAAGGTAGAAAAATGGTCAATATTAAAATAGTTTCATGAGTTTTTCAAGGAAAAATTTTTAATTAGGCTGTAGGGGAAATACATGATTTCTACTTGAGGAAAATATAGTGCCACATATTTAATTGCAAAATGTATTTCTACCTTCCAGCCTCTTGACATGAAAGCATTAAAAATAGTTGTCGATAACCTTTGGCAATAAATTGAGATGGATAAATCCTCTTGTAGTAAATAATCCTTTTTTCTAAATATATTTATAAACTTTAAATGAGAAAACAACACTTAAGAAGACAAAGAGCCACGTGTATAAAATATATGTTGTAGGATTTTTTTCCTGACCTGTTTGAAATGAAAGCCTCACAGAAAATCTATTTTGACAGAATTTCAATGTATTAGTCTGTTTTATGATTAGTATTTGTGATGTTCTGTTTTTGTTTCAAATTTTCTTTGGTCTTTCTCAGTTTCCAAAGCTGTATTTTATTGTGCTAGGAAGTACAAAAACAATTTGTCTGACCAGATGAGCCTCAGGCACTGTTTGTTTAATAATGTTCTCTGTGTATGTTTAAATTAACATATAATTATTTCCCAAAAGCTGGAGAAAAGTATTTCAGCACAGTGAGGATTATGTGATTTCTGTGCACTAATAGCAAAGCGTTGATTTGTGCCATGTACAAATTGTTTTAACTGTAAATACGACTTGGGGAGGATTATAATAAATGTTGGGGGAAGGCTATAGTAAATGTTGAGGGAAGATTATAATAAATGTTGGGAAGGTTTTAATAAATGATGTCAGTAGGAATGCAGTGAGAAGGTTGGAGCAAGATAGGGTGGGAGTGCGTAAATATAAGTGAATAAAATTTGTACTACTGGCTGATAAACATTTTGTGCCCTGAAGACTCTCTTCCCATTGAGAAGGACATTTCTGGGGGAAAAATGTACCAGATGACCAGGACCAGCCACAGAGACAAACCAGAAACACTGTGCTGTGGAAAAACACACACTGTCCTTTCGTTACAGATGTAACTGCACTTGTTTTTTATCTTTTGTTAAATGACTGAACTTCAGTTTTTACCAGTTACAAATAAAGAGTACCTGATGATTTTACTTTCGTATTGCATATTAGAACTAGTGGAAGAATGATAGCATCTCTGTGTATGTGCAGTGGGAAAGCTGGCCTGTCCAGCTCCCAAATAAGAAATTCCTCTTCTCCTTTTTAAAATAACAAAAAGAAATCTTTCTCTCTGAAATAAAGCAAGATTTCTCGTTTCATTTTTTTAAATACATTTTAGACCTTGCCACATTTAAATCATTAGTCATCGTCTTTTTAAAAAAACTTTATTTAAAAGCAACAGCATTCAATAAGCACTCTACATCAGCTCTATCAGTAAATAGTTGTTGGGTGAATGAATATGTAGAATGGCTAAAGGTGAAAGTTCGATTTAAAAAAATGGAGACCAGATTTATTACATATTCAATTTTGCATTTGTTTCCAGACGTGGACTGGGTTGTACTTGCTAACATCAGGAATACAGTGATAATTTCATTCACTCAACAAAGGTTTATTAAATGTATATTATGTGCCAGGTACTATGCTAGGCACTGTGCAAAGAAAGTTCTATGTTCCCAAGAGACATCTGTTTAGCAGAAAAGATAGATGTTCTTTAAATAAAAACAAAGTGAGTTATTCTAAAAGGAACATAGTTCTCTGGAGCATATCACCAAAAAATCTGTCCCAGGATTAGCTGTCAGTGAGTGTGTCCTTGAAAGGATGGCTGAGCTGAAATCTGATGAATACATAGAAGTTAGCAAAGGGAGGGAATAGCATTTCTGGTAAAAAGGAAATAGCATATACAAAGGCCCATTGGTTGGAGGAATAACGATGAGTGTAAACTGCAAAAAGGATGGAGTATAGCAGGGTGAGGAGACGGTGTGACATGAGCCTGGAAAGGCAGGCCAGCCTTGGACCCATAGGTTATCTTATAGGCTATGTTAGAAATCTAATAAGAACAAGAGGGTCACAGTCAACCCCTTTGTTTTGGAACAAATAAAAGAGAACCAGAGAGATGCTAGAAGACCATCTGGGAGACAGCTGTAGTGAGATGTGATAGTTTGGAAAGGTGGTGGTGGCGAGATGATAGAAGTGGATAGATTCAAGAGAATTTAACATACAGAATCAACTGGACTTGAGACAGATTAGAAATGAAAGGCACGGGAGGGAGTGAAGTCAACAATCACACGTGTCTGATTTGCACAATTTGATAGAGAATGCTGCCATTCTCTGAGAAAACACAAGAAGAGTGGGGTGGGAGGAGGAAGATTATGAGTTCATACATACCTCTCTTGATTTTGAGACATCTTTGAGCCGTTCAATTCAAGCTGTTAATCAAATAATCAGATAAACAGGTCTAGGAGTTAGGAAATTTTTGAGCTGAAGTGGAGATAAAACTGGGAGAGTTTCTAGAGTACACCTGACAAGGATGAAAACTTAGACCAGGATGAGCTTGCCTAGGAGGACAATATAAAGCAAAAAGGCAATCTACAACCATGCCTTGAGGAACTCCAGCATATACTGGGAGAGGAAGATAATTCTGCAAAGGGAACTGAGAAGGAAGGGAAGGAGGTAGGAGGAAATGAGGATGATGATATAAGGAGAGCAGTGGTGGACATGGATAGAAAAATAGCCATTGTGTGCATTGACAGTTTATTATTGACCTTAGACTATTTCAGTGGAGCGATGGAAGCTTGGAGTGGGCTGAGTTGTCACCGTGTGAGAGGTAAGGATATGGGATCCAAGAGTATAGACAATTATGTTGCTATGGCAACATGCAGTGTTACAAGCAATATTGAATGTTGCTTGACATAAACTGGAGCTTTTTGTTTATGACTCTAAGACCTATTGTAATTTATTACTACACAATTAAAATTGTAAAGCACCAAAAATCCTTTGTACCCTGAGAAGAAGTGCTCATACTTCTGTAACAGGGATGATCTTTTGCTTTGAAAATAAGTTTCAGTTTTGGCTCCTGAATGTATTCTTGTCATATGGGTCACTATTAATAAAATCAGCGGTTACTTTTGCCGACTGTAGCATACTTTGGAAAAACAATTTTCCAAGCCCATTAAGGGATGATCCAATCATGCATTTTCTTGTTTTAGTACTGGTAAGGTTAAAAAGAAAAACCTGTCAAGGAAAAGGCCTGAATGAGTCTGGGAGCTAGTGTGGATTGGGCTAGCCTGGGTATTAGTCCAGACTTTGCCATTTACTAGGATAGCCTTGGCTTTAGGCAAGGCACTTAACCCACTGTTCTCAGTTTATTTATTATAAAATGAGAGCTTGAATCGAGATGATTTTCAAGAGGCCCTCCAGCTCTAAAACCCCCTGTTTCTGCTTTCTTAGATTAGAATTTCTCGTTTGTTGATATTGGAAGCAGATTTCATTAAATTAACGAGAAAGTTTGACTCATAAGAACTGTTTTCTTGTTCATGTGTATTTCTTTACTCATGAATTCTGTTTTTAAAAACGATATGCAAAACATTAAATGATTTATTTTCATATTTGTTAGAAGACATGATTTGATTCACTTGATTTTAAAAAGCTTCATGTGTCATATGAAATCCTTGGTAGGTGAATTATGTCCAATACAACTAACGATTTATGGCTGTTTGGGGCATATTTTTTGCTGTGCTGTTTTTAATTTGGAAAACAGCACTTTAACCAACCCTAGTAATTCACATTTTTCTGTTTAACTAAAAATATCTCATAAATACTATGTGTGCCACAAGAACCAGCCTGCATATTTATTTAACCAGCCAGGGCTATGCATTTTTTAAGGTCTTTAGTTTTTAAGAGCAGTTTTAGGTTCATATGCATTTCTAAATTTTGATTTTTTTCATTACCCATAAGAGATTATTTTTCTTTTAAAATCAAATCATCTGTATCAACCAAATGTCATCATTTTCCTTTTCCTGTTTGTTCTTAAACTCCCCAAAAAGTCAGTTTCCTGTTTTCTTAATTCCTCTTTTCTCAACTTAAAATTAGAACTGGCCGTTTGGTGCAGGAGAGTGATGGGTGGGCCTTAACCCAGGAGGTGGGAAGCTCAAAAAAATTAGTCTGTCAAGGAGATCTGGGAGCTGTGAAAAGGGGTGGCTACAGGAATGATCAGACTCTCCAGATCTTTCTCTACTTGAAGTTTAGAAGTAAGATTAACCTCTTTGGACTGGAGTTCTTAGAGAATCATGGAGTGCCTTACTGGCCATATTTAATAGAATTAGAATGTGCCATATAATTTACCAAAAACTTACACAGAAAAAAAAGGATAGCAATGCTGTGGAAGACACAACTGGTTTCCTAACCAAATACCCATTCCTATTCTTTGTTCACCTTCCCTTTAAAGGCTGAAAATGCTAAATTTTCTTTTTCACTGTATTGCTTTGTTGTTAGGAGTAGTCATGTGAGATCTCACCAATGAAAAAAATTTGAAGTCTGCTGCAGATTTCTGAGGAAGCTTTTGCTTTTCTGATAAAAGAGATGGATGTGGTTGGTACTGCCTATTCCTGCCTTCTTTCTGTGTCAAATGTAACTGGCTAATTGTTAAAGAGATGTGAAGAGAACCAGATCTGGAAGTGTTGAACTGCTAAAACAATGCCATCACGTGCCTATTTTCAGGTTTCTTGTTCTAGATGAAAAGCAAACCCTGATTTGTTTAAGTAAATTTTTAATTGCTCCTTGCAGCTGAAAGCATGCCAATGAGCATCTGAGTGTAAAAAGGAACAAGAATGGAGGGCTTGCTCTGTTAAAACCCAGAAAGCAACATGTAGATATAGCTGGTTAAAACGAAAATGGAGTAGCGGCTACCCTCACCTAGCCATCCTTACATCAAACCCCAGGGGTGAGGTGGATGGGAGGGAGGAAGTGATTTGGTGAATATGGGAACTCACAGATGGAGTTTGAACCTTGAGCTGTTCCTGGCTTGGAGTGAGTGAACCAGTTCTAACCAGGAGCAGACTTTCCAACCTGGTGGGAGGTGGCCTCCACCATCCTCTTTATGCTCCCTGATTTTGATCGATTACCCAGTACTCCCCTTGCCCCAGCCACAGCCTTACACCTGTTCAGACACTACCTCATCCCCAGCACCTCCCCCACTTCTGCTTCAAGTTGAGTCAGTAGAAGAAGAAACAGTATCACCTGTGACCACAGGGTCATGCCTAGGTCTTGGAACTGGGAATCAATGTGAAGGTTCTATAGATATTCAATAAGAGGACCTAGGAAACACTCATTTAATAATGCTCCGGGACTTCCATAAAACTATAGGAGAATTGAGCTTCACTGGAGGGCCTCCCAGTGTCCCCCCAACACACACATAGAGGACTACGGACACTGGGGAGAACCTTTGTGCTGGGAGAAAATGTCTGCTTATTATCGTGGAATGATTGTCATGGAGAAGTCAGCCAAATTCAGGACCATTCTTCTGAAATCAGAGAATATCATGTGGACATCTAGTACCTGCACTCAAATAGCATTTCTCACAGAGCTGTCAACCCATGAATCTCTCTAACCTCCAAAAAGCTCAACGCTGTTCTGAAACTGAGGCATTTTGCCAAGGAAACCATGAGCTACAACTTCTGTTCACTCCCCACCCTGACTGCACTGTTTAGCTCCAGAGAAGTATAACAAGGCCTGTCATCATGAGTTCTCGAATGTTGTCACGTTTATCTTTGTTGTCTTTGGTCTCACTCTCTTTCCTGGTATGAAGATGCACATCCAAGTGGGACAACCTGAATTTCCGCACGGTAAGGGATCAGTGAAATCAGAGGAACCTGCTGGAAATGGAGTTTACTCAAAGAATGACCACCACAGGGTTGATGCACTACTGAGTCATGCAGTTGATAATAGTCCTCTAGACTGGCGCCACTCAAGGTATGGACCAGTGCCAGTCCATGAGTGGTTTGTTACCTATTCAAAAAAGTTAAGTACAGAACTTGAGATTAAGTATTGAGAAACTTTTAACATCGCTATTACAGCCAAGCACGTGATTTTGTATTTTACAAAAGTATCACTCTGCAGTGGATTGAAAGTAAGAAACTGGTCTCCCAATAGTTGGAGG